ATTTTAAAAAATTCCGCACTCTCTCAGTGACACCATCTGGAATAACCATTAAATTTTTTTACTAATTTTGCTTATTTTTCAGCATTTTGTAGCGTAAACTTTAGAACTGTTTTCATATTTGTCATTGGCCGCAACTACGGAACGGCAGGATTAAAAATAGAGGACGTTCGTTTCCCGAGCGCGGGCCAGTATCCTAGCCAGGTGGAAAGTGCGCTAAAATGACTCTAAGTAGATTTGGCCTTAGATGATAAAGTGGCAATATAACAAGAGTGCATATACTAAATAACGATTTTTTACTATACTCTTCTTTAACCTTAAGCAGGACCTGGCTAAGGCCCGCGCCAAAAAGCCTAAACATGTTTTGCATTCGTCTACGATCTCCGTTGCTATACATACGTAGATTGTTATCTAATTACTATTAAAACTAGCCTGTCGATATATAATTAAATTTGAATCTTCTTTGCAATTTTTTTTGAGAGTTAAGAAGGCTTGGGTTGTCTAGCTTACGAATGCACATCGTTCATTTTATAATATCAACATTTAAGTAAAAAAACATGACTATTCGAGTTTCTTTATGACAAGAGAATAATGGAAGAATTAATCCTCTCTTGCAAGAGAGGGCAAACCAAAAGAGGCCTAGTAAGAAATCGAAGAAAAAATATTCTTCATAATTAGCATGTTTCTGAAGAGCCTTAATGGCTCTTGCATGTTTTTATTTATGATGCTAAAAAATTCATGCACACCCAATGGATTGAACTGACGGAGAAACAATTGTGTCTTTAGAGAGATTAAGCCTTGCGTTTGCGGCAAACAGCAAACGTGAGATTGAAGTTGAGAAATTTTCAAAATTAGAAATGAGCAGATAAAAACAGCTTAAAACAATTGTCATGGATAGAATTGGCGTGAATCTACCAATTTTCGTGTAGTTATAATGAATAAGTAAACGGAAAACTTGGTCACGTGGTACAAATTCACGTTTGCCGTTTGCCGTAAACGTTTTGCGTCTCATTCTTTCTTGGCCTGTTTGTTGTTGTTGTTGTTGTTGTTTTTCATTTTTCATTTTTTTATTTTTAGGGACTTTTTGCAGTGAGATACTACAATGTAGACAGCTTGCCAGTAAGCCTTTCTGTCGAGATTGTACTTGCAATTAGGCTATTTTTCGGTGGGAGAATGGAGTGGGGTGTGCGGCGGGGGGCCAAAGTCGGCGGCAAAGGGATCCTTGATTACAGGTTATCGTTCTCATGAGAATGTTCACAAAACGAACGTACGCGTGTATGTGTTACGTTTGCTTCCCCAGTAACTTAACTTTGATCGAATGGAAAAATATACAGACACTCTACTGCGCATTCGCAGAAGCCTTAAGTTGTCATCGCTTAATTCATCGCAAGACAAGTTCCTAGGGAGAAAGCACAGCTTGCGGGGTCGATGGAGTTCGAATTGACATCGCATTATGTTTCACTCTCCTTTGAGCTAATGAAATTCTCTCCCCAACAGTTAAAATAAAAGTGTAAGACAGCAACTTTTCTCTCTCAAACTGACATTTTATTGTTCATTAAAGATGAATTCCGATGGTTTCGCACATTTATTAAAGCTAAACAGTATCATTTTTCAAGAAGCTCTTTATTTTTTGTGTAACCCTGGTTCAGCTGCACAATGTATATTGTTCGGAACATGTGGATTTGATATTGTTGTTGATGAGCAAATGGCTATAATCACTTTTATGACAGGTCTATTTACATTTTTAAAATATTTTTAAATCGTACTTGACACCCGGGTTGACAACACGAAATTTACAGTTTTGAAAAAAATAATATTGAAATCATATTCTCCGCGTCAGAGAGTGTCTCTCTCCTCCCCGCTTTCTCCACTTTGTGGCTCGTTCTCTCTCTCACGAGGAGAAAAATATCAAGAAAAACCTGTGGGACCAGGGTAAAAAATAGCAGACCATACTGCTCAAACAACCAAAATCATGCTGCGTCGACCAGCAGTATTAGGGCACATGAAACACTCCACCCGCGCGAATAGATAACAAAATGAAATGGTGAATTGTGTGAATTTTAACAGGTACTAAGGCTAGAGTGATTAATTTTTCTGAAGGAGTGTCCGGGAATTTTTCTTCTATTAAATTAGCTGCCTAGAGTACCGCAGGTGGTCAAGTCTCTTCTCAACTCCGAGGTGCTAATAAAATTTTGTGGGCATTAATCAAATCAGCTTTGCCGTTAAGGGGGATTCCCGGTTTAAAGCTGTGTGTGTTAACTCAGTTCACAACATGTGGTACCTTGTTTTGGAATTAAACTGTTTAGATCAGTTACCGTGTTTCGCGGCTTTTGAACTCGATTTTTTTTAATTACACAACACCAGGTGTTTGTAGAGAATGGGAGTAGAGAAAACCGGAACTTGTAAATGCCGCGATATTTCCAACACTTGATCAACAATTTAAAGAAAAACACTCCTCGTTATTTTGAAAACTAGCAGTTTCCGGTGAAAGAAAAGAGATTCTTTGAGGCAAAGAATTATGAAAGGATAAAGGTTTCGTGAGATAAATAAGCCAGTTGCAATCACTTCCGGTTTGGGGCAACACTGCGCGACAGTCACGACCCTTATCGCGTCTCCCTTTGTGTTTATTTCTTGGCTTTGACAGTTCAGCTGTCAAATTTGGCGGGAGATTAGAGGTTCTTTTTCTGGATTTTCGCTTTTGTGCAATTGTAACGCAAACTTTCTCCTTCTAACATTCTTGCGATCGAAAATCACTAAATCTCAAACGCAGCGATTGTATCTATTTACAAAATTTCGATGTAATAGGTTGGAGTTCATTTGATCTTATTATGAACCAGTATAGGAAAAGTGAGAAGCAACTGTCTGCTTGCGGTTCCGCAAAACTGCAAGCGATTCCGCGACCGACTCAATAAATTAACCGCGTAAAAACATTTTTAAAATGGCACTTCTATCCTTCTCACGTCTCACGTTTAACACAAAGGCACTCTTGTAGCCGAAGTGAAAGTGGAGTGCGATTTGCATCACAATCGCGGCAGCCTTTGGCATTCTGAAGTAAGCGTGTACCAATTGTTTCACTTGATAATTGAATTTCTGTTGACGAGCTTGATTACAGGTAATTTCCTCTTTTTCAAAAAGGTTTGACAGTTGGCTGACTTTCTGGATTTATTCGAGCCGTGATTTGCATACAACACGCGTTGTTCTAAAAAAAGATCAAACCCTTGATTTTCCAACGTTCGTTCGATCGCGATCATTTTTCGACACAGCGTGAAGCCTAAAGCCACTGACTTTAAGAAAAAACATTCAGAGCAATAAGAAAACTAGAAATCCAAAGTTTTGACATCACACTGGTTTCTTTTGTACTTCGGCGCTGATTCATGCGTGTGCTCGTTCTCAAATAAGCCACCTAAAGCCAGCTGTCGCTTGCAGTGACGTAAACAGAAAAGACAATGAATCCAAGATTTAGATGTGTAAAGCATTTCATGCTAAAGAAATCTTTTCGCAGCTTTCAACAAAAAGAAATGAACTCACTTGGGAATAAGAGAGCTTTTGTGATTGCTTTAAAATGTGACCTAATCGAAGAAACGTTGTCTGCCTGTCTGAAGTAACGATCCTTCGACCTCGCCAAAAGCACATGGTTTGTTTACATTGACCAAGAAAAATTTTTAACTCGCTAAGCAGCGCGATCTCTCTTTCTTAGTCACTTTATTTGATGGAAAAAAAACGTGGAATTGGAGTAAGAAACGAATTATTTAGATATATGGCGGTCCTTAAGTTCATCAAGCGTTTGAAAGTTGACTATAATCCTGCAATTCTTTCGGATCATTAAAGCAGAAAGCGCGCGAAAGGCGACAACAATACACAACGCGTAGTGATTGCGGAATTTTTAGCTAAGAAGATCAAATTAACCGTAAGCGCATGAACGATACAAAATCACAGGACAATGAAGTAGAAATTGCAAAACGAGGTTTTAATCTTTCTCTTCCTTTGAATAATCCATACAAAATTTCTTCTCTGGCATTAGAATTATGCTAAATGTATAAACTTAAATACAATCGTATGCAAACCTTGGACGTTAGAATAAAGAGCCATGTCCGTCTTAATATTAGAAAAACTTTTTCATAAACCTTGATTTTTCATTACATCATTTACAGCCCGTATTTGGAACACAGCTGTTTAAAATTAGAATAAAATTTATTTAAAAATCCACCACTACAACAGGGCAGTATATTAAACCTACTTTCAAAGTAGCAAATTTTCTACATCGTAAATATCGTCAAATTATTGAGAAACCTCCCTTATAGAAGAATTGGGAATTATAAAAACGCATTGTTAATCATAATCTCTCGGTTTTTGGGCCAAATTCTTAATCAACACTTTGATATTAAAATACTTTACACTTAGTTAGGGTGAAAATTCAATACTGTATTTGCTACAATTCAAAAATTTTACATAGATACATATTCGATAAGTTAAACCTCTAACTAGAAACTCCAACCTTTTTAGGGGGAAAATATTGTAATTTCCGCAACATTTACACAACATCCTCTGTGGGAAACTAAATACTAAAATTTAACAACAATCTTCCTGAAATTTCCGTTCTAAATAAAGATCGCCGCGCGAATTTAACCTAACAAAACATCTGAACATTGAAGGCCATGCATCCATATCACACGAAAATATGAAGCCTCGAAAGGGAAATTGAAATTGTACTAACGATAAAAACACGCCTTGAATGAAAGAGACCTTAATGATAGTAATAGCAGCAACCTGCACCGTCATTTGTGGGTTTTGTTTAATATAAACGCAATAATAATTTAGTTCGCCGCGATCTTTAGCACTGCTGCACGCTGTCTTAGAAATAGTGGAGCGATCCCATAGTAAACAAATAACACAACAACCCGTATATAAATTTAAAATCGGCGTATAAACTCTAAATTTACCCTCAAAAAATCTTTACATAATGATTCCACTTAAATTCTTACTTTAGAAACAGCAAGTCAGGTTCAGCGACTTCTCTTTGGTAGAATACGGTTATTATTCCTGGGCACCTTCGGCAACTGACCGCCATTTGCTTGCGCTTGCTGGTTTTGCGGACAATACTTGATCGTATGCGACTCATCCCCGCTTGCTTTGCAAATTGGACAGGTATAAGCTCTCAGAATCGGACATGTCGTCTTTCCATCTGGACCTTTTAACAGATGAGATAGGTAAACTTCCTCGCTCTCGCCGTTGTTTCTGCAGAAAACGCACACTGTACCACGATTTGAGATCGCCGGAGCGGGTGCTCTTGCAGACGGTTTAATCCGCCGACTCGGAGGCACAACAGCTTCTTTCCTCTTAGATGCTGCACTATGCAAAAGCGAGGACGAGTTGAAAGGCTGGAAAGGCCCATCTCCAAAGTGATCTGTAAATGAATCACAGCTACCAGACGAGGAGTTTTCCGAATCAATGCTGTCAAATCGGTCTCGTCTTGGCTGCAATTTGCTTACTCCGAATTCTTCTCCCGTGAAATAGTCGAAATCATTGTTCGCTTGTCTCACTCTCTGCACTAGGTTGCTTAAACCAAAGTAGTCGTTAAACATGTGAAACTCGTTTCTTTGCAGATCGTCGGTCTCTGGAGGGCACGTTAAGGACTTTATCTCTTCGTCGTCTGAGTCCAAGAAGTTACTTGGAATGAGGGTTTTAAGCATCACCTCGCTCAACGACATTTTTCCTTTCAATTCAGTGAAGCTTTCGCGATCCCTCGATGAAAGGTCGGGCTTGGCTTTTCACTCCAGACGTGAAATTGCGGTGTAGAATTTACGTCTTCGTCCGCCAGAGGGCAGATTACCTGTTATTGTCAATGCAAGCCAAAAACTCGCATGGGAATCAGCGGGACGTACAGTTTTTTTGAAGCGTAGCAAAGAAGGCGTGACTTAGCTACTCAATCAGTTGTCAAAAAGAACCGTACTGCGCTTGCGTTTTATGACGTCAAACAAGCTGATAATGAGATACACACCGGGATGGTGAGAGAAGTGAATTTTTGCGCCTCTCAAAAATACTTACTTAATTACTTTATCAAAAGAAGTAAATGCGTCTTCTGATATTGGTCTAGAGAAAAACACAGTATACAAAATTTGAGTGTTTTGAAGCTTTCTTCTTCCCGTACGAATGGTAAAACTAAAACATTTTTGGCTCCCCTCCCAAAACGTACAAAGTGAGTTTAACAGAGCGTGGCTGATTGATTTTGACAGGTTTTCTCTTTCAGTAACAGCATGGATTACAGTGTCATTCATGAGACTAGAGGGCGCCAAATCTCTCAAATTACTCTTTGTTTCTGCCTCCAATCACAACAACTCTGGTCAAATATCTATTGTCATGGAAATACAATGTACACAATTAAGCAATCAAGTCACGCTGACATTTCACTAATTTCTCTTTCGCAAAATAACCTTTAGCTATTGTAACTATAAGGTCAGGAGCAACGATGTGCGAAAATAAACACCTTGAATGCCCGCTATTCAAAGCATTATTAGTTTTGCATTAGACCGTGATACCTTTGGACCCTCCGCTGAGAAAATAGTTAATTAAAGTTGCCGTTCACTAATTGACAAACTGTAAAAAAGTCGCAACGAATCAGTGCTTCAAGACGTATATGCTGAATGGCAAATTCTGACGGTCAGTTTACAGTTACGCGATGATACCATCAGAGATCAAATGCGAACAGTTCACTTTAAAATAGCGACGTTTATCGATGACAGAGGCCAGGCAAAGTGATAAATGCCTATCACTCGATCGACACCCCGTAAATAGAGCGCTAAGTATGCAAATTGCGGTCACTCGGAACCTCGGAACAGTAGGTACTGCACGCATTTTGAGAGAAGAGCAGAGGCTTCAAAAAAAACTGCGTATTTATTGATATTCCCGTGTTTTTTGGTCATTCGGCCAACATCCACAAACAAATTTATTCCCTCACCGGTTTCCACGCACGCAAACTCTGGCAAAACAATTATGAAAGATTCCGGAAGAATCTTCAAAAAGTAAAACTGTTTTGATAAACTTCCCACCGTTACGTTGTACTGAGGGAGACACACGCGGTCTTCTATTTTCATTGCTCTAGTTTGCAAGTTTTTTCTGCCGTCATCTCACCGTGCAGGGTTGTATTGGTATTTCTCCTTCGTCTTCTGCAAAAATCCTTGCGGGAGTATTTTTTGATAAAATCGATCTAGGAGCCCTGGTCTCCTGTCGGAAGGACCCCCAAAACGAACGGTAAAACAATGAGAGAAAAAATATGAGATTTTTTGGAAAACAGGGTAGGGTAAAGTATTTTCCCAGGGGGCTGTGGAAAGATGGACAATGTCCATGAGATGGCAGGTTTCGACTTTTCGTGTAATACTATTTACTTTGCGCTTAAGGAAACCCTATCTAAATCATTGACCTGTCCATAGAACATGTTTTTCCTCGCAATATGGCAAATAATTGATTGAATCTGCGCATATAGTTGAACCCACTTGTTTGCAATTCGGAAAAACCTCTCTTATCTAATTGCCTGTTTGACCATTTTTCTGTTTTCCTAAACCCTGACAAAAGGTCCTTTTTACATAAAAAGAAAACCGCCCCTAATTCACCTCTTCCGTCCACCTCATATGCCCAAGCCTCACCCCGTCTCTGACCATCGTCCACGTCTCCTAGGAACTGTACAAGTGCACGCAGTGTGCATGCAGTGAAACAGTGACTTCTTATATCATTGTGGAATTAGTTGACCAAATCGTCTTAAGTATTTAAAGAAATTATTTACTGTACGAGGTTTCTCTGTAATGTTACAGCCAGTGATACTCCGTCATCACCAAAACCAGCAACTATACCAAGTAACTGAGGTTCTCAGGCGCAGTTTCAAAAATTATATTATGCGGAGAAGATTATAGAACATATTATAAGTGAGTGTTCTAAAATTAGTTTTAGACTTCAGTTGAAGACAGCCTCCCCTCAAAAATCATATCATTGCGGTTACCTTTAATTCAAGTAAGTTTCTTTTTTATTTCTTCTCATTTGTAAGCCGAAGGAGATGTTGGAGAGTTTTAAAAGCTTCACGTATACAGATTCAAATTGAGAATTTGTCAAAATAGAAAATGAGCAGATAAAAACAGCTCAAAACAATTCTTATGGATAAAAAAATGGGTGAAACTGCTAAAATTTATTTGTTGAAGTAATGAACAGTAAACGACAACTAAAGGGGAAACTTGGTTGTGTGGTACAAATTGACCCCTCTATTAGCCTTTCTGGCTAATCTAGCTACAATTCGTGTGAAAATAAAGTTCATGTGCGTAGTGCCAACTAGCGTGTATGAGAAACCTGACCGATCCCAAGTCGCTGATGTCTAAAAAACTACGGTCATAATTACTATAATTTAGGGGAAGGTCTGGGAATAATCCTGTATTGCAAGCCAAAATTCTTATGTCTCTTTCCGCAGCCAGGAAACATGGTTTCACCATAAATTACTAGCTATACCACCTGCATTAAGCCAACACCATATATGTTAGGATAGCTCCACCGGTGATTGAGACGGCGGTCGATCGAAGGAGAAACGAAAGGGGTGAGCAAGGGTGTGTTAAGATGGCTAAAAAGGGAAATGTTATTTCTTTTTAAGTAGGGGTCGTGTTTTAGGTTCTGGTAGATTTCGTACAAATTTCTCTTTGTCTTTGTGTAGAATTAATGGAGAACTTCTTCAAGGAAATTTAAAATTAGGTAAGAGGGATATTCACCCAGCGCCTTAAAGATGTTGGTATCAGTTTGATAGCTTCAGTATGAAGTTGTAAAACGTGTGTTACATCATGCAATCAATCACTCAGTTTTGGTTCAACTTCCTTGCAACCAGCGTCAAAATACAATACGAATTTGAAGTGTAACCCAACACAGCCGTGCTTCATTAGCAAATGAGTCTGAATGGAATATTCCAGCATACAGATCTTTGTACCAGTTTGAAAGTTTGTAAAGTCGTAAGACATGTGTTAATATACTATCACTGATGTTTCAACTTTCTTGCTTTCAGCGTTAAGAAACACCACAACGTACATCACTCTAGTGGAATTACGAAATATCACGAATATTTTTACCATATATTTTGTTACTATGTCCTCCGAAAAGACACGGAAATTAAACACTCGCGAAATCCATCTTCACGATTTTCGTTTATACATTAGTGAGAACATGGTATATCCGCCCAGTGCTTTGTGGGCATTGGATGAACGACTTCATGTACCGAGGGAGTGGGGGGGGGGGGTTTGCTCGAAATAACAATACTTGTTACAAGAGGGAGCACTTACCCTTTTTAAAGAAATTTTTGAAAGTGCATATCGCTGCGTTATTGAAACCCTTACCCGTGTCTTGAACACGCTCACTCAGTTGTCGAATCATAATCATGGATCGTAGAATTTATTTTATGATTAGATAATTTTACTGTTTTGTGCGTATCTTTGCTGTATTTTTCGATAACAAATGACGAACCCTTTATCCACTTCCCACTGCTTAACTTACGTGACGCCCCTCCCATTTTAAGTACTAAAATTCCAAAGTTCAGAATTTAACGATGTTCTAACGAGGGCGGAAAAGCTTCCACAGTTGTGGATATAATCTAAGTACGTACCCGGACTGAACAGCTAATACAACTGCGAAATGAGGCTACAGCTGAGGTTACGAGACAAAATGTGGCTGGTTCACCGGGGCGCATTGAGTTAAACCAGTGTAAATACAACAAATTCAACTCAAATTAAGTGTTGTAATTAGTTATTATAAAGAATGTAATATAATCATTGTTCCTGAACAGCCTCCTTGGGGAGGTAACAATAAAGTATGTATGTATGTATGTATGTATGTATGTAAATTACATGGCGACAAAAGCTGGTTTGGTTTCGTAATCGTGGCTTAAGGGAGATAAGCTCCAAACAAGCCAGCGAAAATCTGTTATTCTATCATTTTTGAATAAACACAATCTAATTCTCTGAGACAGATTGTCTAACTTATTAATGGTTAAAAAATTCTTCAACTGATTATTTTAACTAACTTTCATCCCTAAAAGAACCAAGAAATTTCATTAGATATTTTTGGTTGAGGGCCTGGAGTTCTGATCAACGCTACCAAATGAAATTTATGTCTACGATCGCGAATTGAAGGATTTGCGGAATGTACAATTGACCTATAGGAAACAATCGGGCTGGTTATGATCTGATGAATTAAGGAGAACGAGGAGGGTGTTTATCGCCGAGGCGCCGATACACTTCCCGTAAAAAATCGCGGCTAAGAACCTGGTTTTAAGAACTCTTTTCGCCTAAAATTTGAAACAGGTTCTTATTTTCTAAAATCTATTTAAAAAATCCCCTTCACTTGGGTAAACAGGATCAGTAACATTCAGAAGCCCCTTTGGAGACGTAGTTGCCTTATTACTCCAACTGCAATTAATTGTAATGGTATATACAGGTTTTTCCTAAAGAATGAGCTGAATAGCACTAAATACAAAGCTACATGCAATGTATTTTTTCTTCAGAAAATATTAAGAACCTATATTAAAAAGCTAAATAACCTAAATTTGTGCTTATTATACCATTTATGTAAGAACCTGTTCAGTCTAACTTGGAAAAATGCAGGTTCTTAGTCGCCGGTTTTTACTGAAAGTTGTCGTACTTCTGACGTCATTTTCCACATATACATCGAGCAAACTTCTTCCAAAGTAGGTCAACGCTAGCTGGTTATGAAGATCTATTCATGGCGTCTGAGCCAAACCAAAACAGTGAAATATTTCTATCTAGATGATGACTAATCAGAGTTATAAAAAGGCACTTGTACCAGGTTGTTCAATTTTAGTAAATTAACCTTTCGTGTTTTGGGTTTTAAACCTGATCTCAGAGGTTACCATAATGCACTTCTTTCTTTCTTCCGCATCGATCCGCAAATAACTGCCTGACCGTCAAGAAGCGCATCCCCTTGGATTAGTTTTCTTTGAAACAGATCTTACATATCAAGATCAAGAGAGCCGGGCACAAAGAAATGAGTTGTTATGTTGCTACAGTCAACCAATATTAGTGTGCAGGTTTCTCTTTATCGCCGGGTTTTTTGTCAATTTAAGATCATTTCTTCGGTTTTTTCCTTAACAATTTCGATACTTTTAGTGGCCTTAGCGCTTTGCCGCGGTTTTCCTTTCAGTTGTTCCCCGTCGGTTTCGCCGCTTTTATAGCGGAAAAGGAAAGTAATATTTTGGTGGGAGCCATAGTCGCTTTTAGAGTTCGAGTTTTGATGTATACATGTTTTTCTAATGTTAAAAGGTGCAATTTCTGCGAAGTCACTAAAAATATTTTGTGCAAGAGCATTGTGCAGTTTCTTTTTTTATTTTGTGTAAGGTTTTCTTGACAGCATCATCAACTGATTTACTGTGTGCTTTACAAGTATAGTCACTTTAAATGAAAATAGCCCTCAGTAAGTAATGCCCTGCCTGGCAACAAACCGTGCAACAGATTCCATAACAAGTTGTCACGAGATTGTGCCCGATCACAAGGCGATCATAGCTGTTCTCTAAAAATGTAGCAGGAGTTATTTTAAAAAGGACGTTGTTAGGTCAAGTTTAAGAATAAATTAAAAATGCGAGGTAGTTTTTTATGGGAGATAAATATTTTTTTTGTTTGGCTCAAGCAGGTTATGGGCTCCTGGCTCAAGGTCATAAAGCGCATGTCAAAGAAACGTCATATACCACTTCAAGGAGAGAGGACAATACCTTTTTCCCACGAAGTAATTTTGCACAGGAAATTTAGTTAAGTTTCCAAATTATTAACTTCCATAAGGCAAGGTAATGGCACCACAGGCACCCCAAGCTCAATACTTGGAGTTACGTGCGGTATCGCGTAATTTCCAAAACAAGCGGTCTTAAACATAAAGGATTTGTATGAGACATTTGTATGGGAAAAGATTCAAGAATTACTAGCAGGAATTCTAAATTTAAAAAAAAGCGAAAATAAAAATTAAGCAAAAAACAGGGGTGTTAGAGAAATCGCTGAAATTGGATTGGATTAGGAAAATACGGGAAGCAAGGACAAACGATGTAAATAAAGTAAGAGGCTTTTTATATTGAGAAACTGTGGGAATTAATATAAAAATAAAGTAACTTTTATGCTAAGCTTGGGATGCCTGTGGTATCACAACACAATCGCAAAAGTAGAATAAAGTCACAACTCCATCACGAGACAAAATTTAGCGGGCATATAGCCAAACGTGCTTTTAGAATTAGAAATATACTTTCGTAAAAATAGTCGTAAATGACTGATAACCTCTGTTCGACCAGCACTACAAGGTGTTAACCAGCTCGATCTGTCTGTGATTTGATGAACAGCTAGGATACACTTAGGCAACATATTGCAGAGAAGTCTCCGTTCGTGTGGCATACCCCTGAATTCCTGTTATTGGGGAAAATTTTTGTTACTCCTACTTGTTGCATTATTATATTCAATAGGTTTGATGTAACAGTGACTAAATTATCCAGATTTTCAATGTATTTCGTTCAGTGCTGGGGGAATATGTTTCAGGAACGGGAATAGGTGCCCACCTTGAACAGTAGTAAGGTTCAATAGGGAAAAAGTGAAATATATAATAAATTAAAAAGTAAAATAAATGGTTTCTATATCTGGTAGGTGTCCCGGTCATCCCTTTCTGAGTTTTCTGGATCCGCCCCTGAAAGGCACGAGCAAGACTTTATTCCGTGAGGAACCCAACATGTCGACTGTGTTTACTAAAAATATAGGTATGATCAGGAGCCCATCATGGCATTGTTCTTAAAAAAGCCTTGGGCGACTTGCAAAGGAATCGGCTCACCAATGCAGGTCCCGCAGTTCTTGAGAAACAGAGAAAGCGTCATCAGCCTATGTCTCTATATGCCTGATTTGTTTTACGCTTTACAGGAAAATCGTTAAATTTTCAAAATCCTGTTTACATTCACAAGTTATGAATAGTCCCGTTTGCCAGTCTGAAACTGAGCACGTTCTAGTGCCGATACAAGGGACTTTGATCCAACGACGCGACGGCAATGAGAACGTCGCTTATATAGTGAATTTGCGTTCTTTCAGTCTATATCGCAATTATTCCTACCCACTCACTTTGTCAAATGTACGCGAACCCTCCTAGCCTGCGAAAACATCCGTTTCTCCTCGCTCTTCGCCGCTGGGGACGTTTTGCGCAGATCATCCGCGCGAAACGTCCCCAGCGGCAAAGAGCGAGGAGAAACGGATGTTTTCGCAGGCTAGAACCCTCCTGGAGTTGAATTCCTAGGCACCATATCCAAGTACAGTAAGAGAAATAAAATTTCGTCGTTGCTTGTTTACGTCCTCCTTAAAACGCGATATTAGGCATGTTCACGTCGTAGTCGTGCAAAAACGATGATTTTTGAAATGTACAAAAAACCATGGTGCACGTGCAAAGTTGTTGTTTTTCTGATAAAACCTATTGTTTTTTTGACGTTCTCGTTACCGTCCGCGTCGTTGGATCCCGTCGTTTAAAGTCCCTACAGAGACAAGGGTAGCGCGGCTACAGTCTGGAAAAGAGACTGCTTCTAGAGCATTCTTGTCCCTAGGAGGACCACGTGACAAAAAGAAACTATAGAATGGACACGACCGTAACTGATTCGGCCATCTTATAGTTCTTATCTTTATTTCCCGCTTAAATTCAACCGTTTCTAGTTATACGCCTGCAAAATAAAGTCAAGACTCGATTTGCTCTCTTGTAAGCAGTCATTTGTCCCTGCTGCTAGAGGTTGACTGGTATAAACACTGGAACCCATAAGGCTCCGGCCTGTATAAAGCAGTTTGACGGTAGGCACTACGATCGCTGTAAGTCACCATCTTGTGAAAAACCCTTGAATGCAGAGGTCCACTCAACGCGTACATAAAACCGTCTGCTTCTTTCTTGTCGGATCTCTAATGTCAAGATGCTAATGCCAGACGTCACTTGAATTGAGAATTAAAACAAAACTGATTCAAGGCTGGCAAAACGGCAAAGGGCTGATATATTTCAGGCCAATATTGCGGCTAACAAAATTAGCCTTCTTCAGCCGGGCTGCACTGAAAAAGGAAAAAAAGCTACTACACCATCTTGGTTGTATAACAAACAGCACCACAGCAGTGCACTCGGCAGAACAGTCCTGGCATGTTTTTTTTTTGGAAAGGTCCGTTTAGTTCAGTTATCGTTCGGTCAGGAGGGAAATATTCAGATTATATTTAAAATCCACTTAAGGCGAGACAAGCTGACTTCTCGGATTCTTTGTCGATCTAGCTCGTTTCCGAGACTTCGTCGCGAAAAAAAAAAACAAAAAAACATGGACTTGTGGCAAGTCTACGCGGTCTACGCTAGCGGTACAGGGAGTCAACAGCAAACGATGAGAGTACTTTGACCAAAAAATCTTATTTCTAAATAATTTATGTTCTTTGATGCGTAAATTTACCTTTAACTCTGATAACATATTCAGGCACCCAAGACAAATGATTGTTTTTACAGTTCATAAATTGAATTGATGGAAAAACTGGCACAGATCAGGTGACATAAAGGCCTGCGCTGGCCACGCAGGCTACGCATAGCCCTATGGATTTTATAGTTTTGCCATAGAATCCCCACTGCACCCCACTGGGCAACCTCCCCGGGGATCAGACCTTATAGAACTCTCAGCCTTGTCTTGTCTTGAGTTTTGGCTTGAAGTGAAGTGGTTTGATATTAAAGCATAACTATAGATAGCGAAGAATGCTGGTGCAATGCTGTACCAACTGAGCTAACAAGCCAGCTAGGAGTGGTAATAGAGACGGTTCGTTATTTAGGCAGTAGACCACACTTTCTATGGGTTTACCAGCGTGATAACCTACGCGGGATGTTGGGAGAACACACGCTCCTGATTTACAAGCTTTTCGAGTGTTCTCCCAACATCCTAAGTGGGTTATCACGCCGGTAAACCCATAGAAAGTGTGGTCTATTGCTTTTATAAAATAACTTTAAGTTTTCTATGATTTTACCTGCACAATAAACCATAACTTTTTAACCAATCAGAACGCGTGTGCTATTTTAGTTATTTTACTAAAACCCATAAAAGGGTGGAAAATAGGCAGACTACCCAGTAAAAGCCTGTAAAAATTTCTTTAGTCCTCCTCCATCCATTTATATTTGTTCTAGCCTGCTGCAACCTTGTATTGACCGAAATGTAAATAAACGTACTTACTTACTTTGTTGATCATTATCGTGTTCACGAACCAGCCCAACGACCTGCTCACAGTTGGCTTGTTATCCCAATTGGTTGAGCGCTGCAATGGTATCGTAGCAATTCAAGGGCTCGAATCTCGTACAAGCACAAGCTTCAATTTTTCAGGCTTTCTTTGTTGGGTCGAAAACTGTCATGATCTTCTTTCTCAGTTCTGTTGGACACCTTACCGGGTTAAGTCCTGTTATCTGAGATCACTTCTCCCCAGATTTCTAAAGTTGTACATATACAGAAGCCTGAAATAAATATAATGCAGCAAAGTCTCCTCTTATAAAACAGAAACGCATTTTGATAATTAGAACAATCTATCTTCCGGTGAGAAACCACTGAAACACCCGTTGAAAGACGGAAGTGTTGTTACATGTCACGTGATTTCTTTTGCCCGCAGCTTGTGTGACACTGACAGGAAAATATTTATCGATGAAAAAATGGCGGACGCTTCAAATGGTTCTGCGACGCTCGAATCCGAATTAGATGAAACCCGGAAGAGACTGGAAGTACTAGACAAAAATTACCGAAACCTTAAAGGATTATCTCAAAAAGGTAGTGATTTGTTGCTTGGAGAACAGTTTGTGAGACAAAGTGCTTGTCGTAAAGTTTGCTCAACTGTGAAATCTTCGAGTGGTCGATCAAATCAAATATTATTCTGTTTCAGCTGTCGCTGAATTCGAAGAACTACAGAAAAAATACCAGGAGTATTACCAAAAGGTGAGGTTATTGTTTGCTAATTGTTTTCTCTTTATAGGTAAACTCCAGCTGATTCATGGATGCATTCGGAGAATGAGGAAAAGTCAATTGCTAATTGAAAAACTAATATCAATCATGTTGATTTAAGCTTAGCTTTTCTTTTTCTTTTTATTAGTACAAGGAACAAGAGGTGAAATATTTGAAGGCCAAAGGAGACTTGGAAAAGCTCAAGGAAGGTACAGTCGACAGTAAATATCAGTGCAAAATATATTATAACTTCCACTGGAAGTGGAGACGTATCTGTAGTTTTGCGAATACGTAAGCTTAATATTTAGCTAAAACATTGCGAGTGATCAATTTCCAGCGTTTCATTAACAAGCTGCGATGAACCTTCGATATTGCATAGTTATTCTGAATGAATAAACCAATTCGTCGTAAAACTTCCTGGCCATTTTGTGTATAAGCTCGAATGCTAAATCAAAGCAAATACTGCATTATTTTGATTTGATAAAGTATTGTATAACAGATAGGTTTACTTACAGCACGTCTTTTCGTCGGATAAACTTTAGCTTACGTTCTGTTTTGGCGTCATTTGCTTTAGGAAAGACAGCTGCCTTTCTGACATTTTAATTGAAAATAAAGAAATGGGTCGATGGTTTACTTTCTAAAAACAGTTTTACTTCGACTTGAATGCAGGTTGAAATGATCGTTAATTTGGAACATTTCTGCTCTTAATAGGCTGGAGAGGGAAAAAAAACGTTATTTATGAAATTAAGCTGGTAAAGTTACAGGTATAATCTTACAAAGATTACAAAAAAAGGGACGGCTTATTTCTGTTTCAAGATTAAGCTAATTAGTTTCAGTTCAGGCATCGTACCACGAATTTCCATTTTTGGAGTCCTTAAGACGGAAATGGAACAAATTCAGCATAAAAACCCAGTAATAAAGTGAGAAAGTTATTCTAAAGGGGAAGTTTCGATCAATTCGTTGTCATTTAAACCTATAGTTAATCACCAAGCTCAAGGCTTTTGTATAGGTTTTTTTATTCTCGAAGCTCTTTTGTGTTGATCTGAAATAATTGAATTAAATATATGCCCGGAGATTACATAAATTTAGTGCAAAAATTTCTAAAAAAAATCATTTAATTCACAAAAAAATACTGAAATAATATTTGTCTTTTAATATCTTATTTCAAGTCAGAGGACTTGTTGCATCTGTGAAATTAAATACATTATTAATAAAATTTTTCTTTCATTGGCCTATTTTTTTCTTTTTAAGTCAGGTGTTGTGACAAAAATAATATTATAGGAAATAGTGTTTTTCTCTGAGTAAATGAATGTGTAACATTTAGTATTAATTACATTAATATTTGCACAAGTGGATTAAGGTTTTGGTTTTTTTCCAACTTATTTTTTGTGAATATGGTGTCAGATGAGGTGGTTTTTAAAGTTGTCAGTTTTTTAAAAAATTTTTTAGTCTGAGAAACAGCTAAAATTTCACAATGCTACTAACAGTTTCTCAACGAAATGAAGTCCAGGGTTGTCCTTAAGAGCCTGGGGCCGGGGATTTTCCCTGGCTACAATGAGTGTGACTGCTGGCTACTTTTATTGGAAAAAAAAAGAAAACTAGAACCAAAAGATATCCCTAGCTGTTTGTTTGTATTTACCCGGCAACTTGAAATCTTACTGACAACCCTGATGTCTGAGTAACAAGCACAGAAATTTGGCCATACTGATGACGTGTCACCACCCTAACCTGGGCAGTGATTGTGACTGCATGGTTGGAAATTTGCAATTTAACAATCAGAAGCACTACCCAGATCTGGGTAGTGACACATCATCAGTGTGGTCAAATTTCTGTGCTTGTTCCTCTGATGTCATTTCGTAGGAAACCTTTATTAGTGTGAAAAAATGTTGGCTGTTTTGGCAGCCTATAGTATTTTAAAACAAACTTAAGAAAGTGCAGATTGACACGGGATACCGTAAAATTCGGAAAATAAGCCCTGTGGCTTATATTTTTCAAAGGCCCTTTTTGAGGGTCTTATTTTTGGAGGGGCTTATCTATGGAGGGAAATTTGCATTTCAAAATCGATTGGGCTAGCCTTATAATTGGAAGGAAATTTACCATTTTGGCTTTGTTGTACTTTGCATTTGAGGGCAATTTCCAAGTACAAGCCCCTGGGGGGCTTATATTTGGAGGGGTGATTTAATGGAGGGTTTTTTGCGTTATGGGTTTGGGGGGCTTATATTTGGAGGAGCTTATAAATGGAGGGGCTTATTTTCGGAATTTAACGGTATTTTGCAATTTCTTTTTTTTTTTTGATTTTCATCAAGAAGGTGGGCTTTCCTTGAATACCATTATTCCATCGATTCTTACAGTCTTACGATGGATCTTTTGTCAGTTTCATGGCTGGTTATAAATTATTTTACTTTGTGGTCGTATAATAATAAAATATAATCATATTGTGTCTTGGATACTCACAAAACAGAAATTATTTATTCAATTGACCTGTTTCTGTTACTGGGCTCATGTTAGCCTTGTAGCTGGCGTTTTTTAGGGGTGTTTTTTTTTTGGTAGTTAAGATAACAGATACAGCCATAAAGCTGAACCAAGGTCAAACCAAAAAATCATGGTGATGGGAGCAAGGGGAGAAGGCAGTGCTGGGGAAAAACCACCTCCATTCAACCCCATTAGATTTTTGAAACCTGTTCTCCAGGGGACAGAGCAAATGGCATTCCTGATTGTGGCCCACAGAATGTCAACCTGCGAGCAGATGTGAGATTCCCAGTGGATACAAAGGCATTCTATTGGTTGTATGGTGGCTTCTAATGTCTGACCTGATATATTATTAACATGAGATAAAAAAATTAACTAAAATATACACAGTATACATCTGTATATATATCTATTACATATTCACCTACCTTAGATGTCAAAGAGGTCTGCAGTTCTAAAACTCCAAAGAATAATAATTATTCTTAAAAGCAAGCATGCTATTCTGAACAAGAAATATTTCTGAAAAAGTGAAAAAATTATCCTCACATTTATATTATAATATATAAAGAAAATAACTGAAGACGACACTCCAGTGATCAGTCTGTGTGAACTTTGCCATTGGCCTATGGTGTGTCAGCAATCAAAATAATAATATATACACGTAATAATTCCAATCTTTTGATTTTAGGGTGGAACTTTGAGCCCAATAATGAAATCTCATTCCGATAAACAAAATCTATTTCTAAATATCAAATGAGCACAAAGTGCTGAAACCATTGGTGCGACAGTTGTTTTCGACAGCTGTCAAACTTCTAAACATGTCACATCACATGTAAGCCAAATTCCTTCTTTCACAAGACTGGAAGGGGCATTTCAAAAATCACAAGGGGTTAATTGTGGTGGTTTTTCTCCCTCTCTCTCTCCCTAGCCCTCTCCCCCATGGTTTTTTCATTTTGACCTGCATGCGGCTGTATAAATACGAGCCAAAAACAAAAACAACACCAAAAAACCCGCTAGCTACGCAGGCTTGGCTCATATAATGATGGGGACAAGGATGCTCATCATCTTGTTTAGGGCCATAAATAGTAGGTTTTTGGTTTCACTTACTTAATGTTCAGCATTATTATTATTGGATTAGTGATGTTAGGCAACAGTTGAACCAAATCAATTTTTTATGTTTATTTCCCTGCTAATGCTTCTTGGGTTAAATGTCCAAGATGCCAAATTTTTTACCAGACATTCACTGCTTCCATTGTTTTTTCTTTGTTTATTCCTTGTATCTTACAGTCTCAAACATTGCACTGTGTGAATATGAGAATTTGCATGAAAAGTTTGAGGTGGAGCAAAGCTGCAGGACAAAGGCGGAGGAGTTTGCTACCAATGTATGTATTGATGTGAAGTATATATGAAATAATTCATTTTGAACTGCGGTTGTAGATGAAAGTGAAGAATGATCATCGCAGTAAATTTTCCAATTTAAGCAATTGGAAAGAAGAAGCCTGAAAAAAAAAATATCAGGGCTTCAAAGGGATTCGAACCCGTGACCTCCGCGTTACCGGTGCGTTGCTCTACCAACTGAGCTATGAAGCCACACATTGGGAGCGAGGTCAATTTATTGAGTTCATATCTCCCGTGAGGAATGAAATGATGTGCAGTATATATGAAATAATTCATTTTGAACTGCGGTTGTAGATGAAAGTGAAGAATGATCATCGCAGTAAATTTTCCAATTTAAGCAATTGGAAAGAAGAAGCCTGAAATCCCTTTGAAGCCCTGATTTTTTTTTCAGGCTTCTTCTTTCCAATTGCTTAAATTGGAAAATTTACTGCGATGATCATTCTTCACTTTCAATGTATGTATTACCAAACTAAGCTACTAGCATTACGGTTACCGTTTTAGAGTTGATTGGTATTGAAAGTGACTGATGTTTTGATAGCCTGTGACCATTAAGTCAAAGCAGAGCAGTCATTAAGGGCCGTAACCAGAAACACCTGTTATAGCAGAGGGTACTTGATGTTATCTACGAATGATCAAAGTGGTAAACTAAGAAAGACACCATAAGTTTTGTGAGTTATGGGTGAATCTTCATTTCGTATGGCTTCTTCAAACCTTAATGACAGCCCTGCAAAGGGTAAAGAAACTGTCGTTATTCATTTTTGGCTCTGAACAGGTGTGGCTCATTGTGGTTGTTGTCCGCTATTATTTTGTTTGAGGCTGGAGCGAGGTAGTGAGGCATGCATATTTAGCAAGATGTGCTGCACGTGTATCCACAACACTGATTAACTGATTATTTTGTTGTTGTTCTATGACTTAAACAGTGCTCAGATCTGTCAAACAAACTTTTCCTTGGTTCTTGTAAACTTAGCTAATTAAGGTGTCACTTTGTCTCCCTAAATCCTTTAAACTCATCAACAGAGATGAGCCTGGGGGAAGTGCCTGCGAGGCAAGTGATTCCCGAAATGCAGGCGAGTGCAACGTGTAACCGTGACAACCCTGAGAGTGGCATTGACCTAGGCAACGTCATACTGCTAACCACTGGAACCTTACATACATGTACATACCCTTGCGGCACCCCTTCAGCCCTGTGCTGAAGCCCCGTCAGGGAGGGGGGGCTATAGGATTTGCTGGACTTGGTTAACTTGGCCCAAGGACATTATGCCGGCCATGCGTTTTCACGCGTGAACTATGCCCTCCCTTGCAGTACAGGCATGAGGCACCCCCTCGGTATGGCGCCATGTACCGAGGCCCCTCATTCGGTCATCATCCGGTCGGTGGGTTTTATCCGAGCCTTGCGGGTATATTCCCTGCCCAACTTTGCCCACCAAAGAATATTGTGTTTTCTCTGCGTCTGCGCGCTGTAACATTAAGACCTAGGCAACGTCATACTGCTAACCACTGGAACCTTACATACATGTACATACCCTTGAAGGGTAAATTAAAAATAAATGTAGTTTTACAGCGTGGTGGTGACCAGTGACAGATTCACCAATCAGCTGATAGCCACTTAAATTGTTCTTCTGTGATTTGAAATCCCTGATAGATGGTTCAACAAAACAAGGCTCTCAAGCGACAAAGCCAATTGCTTATCTCACAAATTGGCTCTGGAGAACAGCTCAATCTTGTAGGTATTTTCTGTCTATAATAGTTATTCTTGTTTCTTGGTTTCTCGGTATCTGAATCTCCTAGGCTACTCACTTGACAATAATTTTTAGATGGCCTTCAAACATACACTAACATGTTTGCAATAACTGGAAATGATTAAATTGTGGAAGAAGCCACTATTATAAAGAAAAAACGTCCAAACGGACTCATCATTGTTGGCCAACAACTCCCAACATTCTTGGGAGTTGTTTCACCATTTGCAGCAACTAAAAGTTTGACCGGTTTAAAACTTTGCGCAACAACTCCCAACAACACGCAACAACAAGCAACAGTGTGTGCAAATGGACGAAATATGTATCATCCAATAATGTTGCATCTATTTGCATGGGGCTTAATGCTTTTTCCTCCTTTAATTTCAGTCTTTTGTTAAATCCGGTATTTATTAAAAGTCTCACCGTAAATATTCCATCGTGCATAACAATTTGTAACGTTACAACTTTTTTCACTTTAATATTCCCCATAATTATAAAATACCACAGTTTATTAATTAATTAGTTTCAGTTTATTTATTAATTTCAGTCTTTTGTTAAATCCAGTATTTATTACATTGTAAAAGTCCCACCATAATATTCCATCATGTACAACAATCTGTGACGTTACAACGTTTTTCACCCTCATATTCCCCATAATTATAAAATACCACAGTTTATTACAGTGATATCATTATTCCTTTCTATTGGTTAGTTTAGATAATTTTGTTGTGACAAGTTTACCTTAATGTTGCAGGTTTTGAAACACAGACAAATAAAACTTGTTTCTATAATCATTTTGAGCTGAGATGCATTTGTTAGTAGCATTTTCTTTACAGTTTTGAGACCGTGTTTTTGTAATAAAATTACATTGCTTGGTAATCCTGTTGTAATAATAGTTTTTCCAAGGGTATTGTACCTGTCAACTTTGGAGAATGTAATCTGTTTAATTCATGATCTAAGATTCTTGGGCTTCATTACACCAAAACAAATGAAAAAAAAATCTGAAAATGGAACTCTATGTCTTTAGGTTCTCGGGTGTATTTACCACTAAAGAAATGAAAAATAATCTGAAAATGGCATTCTTCGGATTTAGGTTAAAGCACTTTAACTGTATTGGCGTGGTATAGGCCAACTAACAAAGCTGGTAGAAAAAAGAAATGTTACCGGTCGTTTCGATGCAAAGTTGTTTCGATACAAGTTTAGTTATTCGAGGTGTAAATCGTTCCACAAACCACAGGTAACCGAGGCTCTGTAACAGTACCACAGTACGGTTCCAGTAAAATTACAGTGTTTGTATGGGGTAAAAATACGATCCTAAAATTTCTAAGAAATACTAAATAAAGATCAGTGAAACTTACTCTGCAGTTAATTGTCGTTGTCCTTATAGAGTACCGAAGTGTGACGTCATAGAAAATGAAATTTGTGAAATTATGGGATTTGTTAAGATATTCCGAAAGAACAACGTCCAAGACGCCTACTCGCCAAAAATTAGCAATTTGGAGCAGATTGTCTCTGAGATATTAACCCAGTTATGCTCCGATGACTCCATACAAATCCTTCTAAATCTTACCTGGTTCCTAATCTTATGAACCAAGCCAAATTTAGAAGGATTTGTATGGAGTCGTCACAGCATAACTGGGCTAATATTTCAGAGACAATTTGCCCCTAATTGCTAATTTTTGGCGAGTAGGTGTCTTGGACGTTGTTCTTTCAGAATATCATAACAAATCCCATAATTTCACAAATTTCATTTTTATGACGTCATCACTTCGGTACTCTATTGCTCCAACGAAGTTTCGTGATAATTCGTAGCAATTTGTTCAAATTCACTCAATTTGAACAAATTACTACAAATTATCACGAAACTTAGTTGGAGCAATAAGGACAACAACCATTAACTGCAGAGTAAGTTTCATTGATCTTTATTTAGTATTTCTTAGAAATTTTAGGATCGTATTTTTACCCCATACAAACACTGTAATTTTACTGGAACCATACTGTGGTACTATTACAGAGCCTGGGTTACCTGTGCACAAACTTTGCTTGAAGAAGCAAGATATTCTCCCAACATGTTTTTCTTGTTCACTCAAAAACTATACTTGAAGTGAACAAAATTCTTGTGAAATTTCACTGCTTGAGTTTGTATCGAAGCGATTTGTATTGAAACGACAAGCAGCTAGTGCCCATGATGAAAACTGCTGGGTCCATCGGTAATTGTGCCAGACAATAAAGTGTATTTATTCATTTATTTTCGCTGCGAGGTTATTTTATTTTCCCGTCGATTTGCTAGGGGAGGCTGAAGGAGACAAGGTAGCCTGCTCACAGACCCTCTATTTTCTCTAAAGAGATCGTCGAGCGCGCATATGAAACAATAATTAAGAGAGATTAAGATTCACGTTTACAACAAACGGAAAACGTGAATTTGTACCCTGTTACCAAGTTTTCCCCTTAATTGCCGTTTACTGTTTATTACTTCTACACAACAATAAGTAGTTTCACGCCAGTTTTATCCATAAGAATTGTTCTGGACAGTTTTTATCTGCTTATTTTCCATTCTGAGAAATTCTCTTCTTGAATCTGGCGTTTGCCGTTTGCTGTAAACATGACTCTCTCTAATAAAAAGAAGAACCGCGGATGATTTATTCACTGTAAGAGCAATGGGTGTTTGTGGGGAAAGGAGAACTTGAGTTCCTTTCTCACCCGCCTTGCAAAACCGATTTTGAATCTTAAGTTTAAACTCCCTCCAAGAAACAACTGATTTGGTTTTACATTCAAAAATTAAAGATCCAGAGAAACAAGCTCTAACTGTACTTACCAATTATGTTCCTTTTCTGAGGGCAAATAAATGTTATCCTGTGCATTTTATTTCCAATCTTTAATAATTTATCCTTTATTCAGGAGGAACTGCCTTCTGTTGAGGCCACAGATGATAGCTCATTAAATGACAATGCAGTTCTACATGAAGAAATCAATGGTGAGCTTATGTTTGAGTTAATTTCATGATGATGATCGAAGAAAGAAATTGAATTATAGAACAAGGGAACCTTTATACAACAGACTCCTATACAATGAAACCTCCCCTAATCGCCAACCCAAAATGCAAAGGCTCAGTGATCGCTTACAAGAATCGACGCAAAGGTTGTCTCCTTCTTGAAGAGGCCCGGCCGACACATCTATATTTTGGAAGAGAATTCATTGCATGTAATTTGTAAGTTACGATAATAATTTATGTGTAGTTTCAAACAAAGAGATCAAATCACGCCCTAAGTGTTCGCTTACAGGATGAGGAAAGACAATGGCAAATTGTAAAGCCGTTATCCAAAAGTGGTCGCAATCGCTTACGAGAGGTAGTCGTTTACGAACGTTTCCGTCTGCAGTGATCGCTGGGAAAATTTTAGTGTTTTGGATGGGCGTTCGCCTGTGGGAGGTGGTCGCGCATGGAGGTTCGACTGTATAGCGTACACTTTTGTATAAGGGAAGATATCATGATTCTTTATTACTCTAGAATTTAATAGCTTTTCTCTCCCTGTCTTCCGCTTTGTTTCTTTGTGCGCCCTGTATTCCCCCCTCCCCCTCTCCACTACCTGAACGCCTGGAACAGAAATTGAAAAGGGCTTGAGTTATTTCAAACAGAGTTCGAAATATCGAAAGCCCCGGCCTCGATTGTTCAAACTTTAGATACTAAATTACTATCCAGCAGATAAGTATTGGGGTGACTAATATTGCATTATCCTCCGAGGCCCTTATCCAAACAACTAATATGGGAGGGAAAAAAGACAAACTAACAGTATGCAATGATTTCAATGCTTGCGTGCGTGACCACTACTGTTTGGTGGTAGGTTAGAAAGCTACACTAGCCCAATGTTTAGGACTCTAAGAAAGATACGTTTTTCTAAAATCAAACAGATACGTATGAACAACATTAATTAATCGAAAAGTGTCAGAATTGAGGTTTTTTGCGGTGATGTGGTTTTGCGGAAATTAATTTCCCTTTTAAATGAGGTATTGCGGTTTTACCAGCTCAAGTGGTGTATGCTCTGTCCTTGATGATGACGTCTCTGATTTTTAGAAGTCACATAAATAATCAAAGTACTGTATTTTGTTAGTGCTAAAAGGACAACTGGAAGCCTTAAAAAAGGAGTTAAGACTTACCAAAGAGAAATTGACTACAACACAAAATGAGGTCAGTGTTTACTAAAATTGTAAATTCTGAATGACGAATAAAAATGAAATGACTATTTGGTGGTTTGCATGTGACGTCACGACGGCAATGTTGGTGGTGAAGAACAAAAACATTTCTCTCCTCTGGGAACTAATTCTATTTTCATTTAAATTCCTCGAGAAAAACTTTTATCGTTTTGACCCCCCAACATGGTCGCCTTGTCACGTGGTTGCAAACCAAGATTAATGGTTAGGGAGTGCGGACGAGATCGATCGAACGTCAAACCGCTCTTGCTCCAACGCTGTGTTTTGGGTACGTGATAGAAGGTCCGTCAAAACCCGCGTTGTCAGGTTACAAGTGGCAGTTGTGATCGGGTGGAGTTCTTTGATTCCATTCATTGTTAAGGTTCGGAAAAATGGGCAACAAAAAACATGAAACCTGTCTTGCAACATTGCTGCAAAACGAGTTGTATAGCGATGTTGCGCGTTGTAACACCAACATAAAACCTGTCTTGCAACAAATCAGGTTTGAACGTAGGTGGTGAAACGCGCAACATCGCAATTCCACTCGTTTTGCAGCAATGTTGCAAAAGAGGTTGCACGTTTTTTGTTGCCCGTTTTTCCGTACCTTTAGTGGAAATCCACTAAAGCTCGCTAGAGTGGTCTTAGGCCCCATCCACACGAACCCTGGTGGCAGAATGTGCGGTTTTAAAAAAAAAATGTCCGAATTCGTGTGAAGGGGGCCTAAATTTCTGCCACTTGTGCCAGTAAGTTGATGTTACACAGGAAGATTCGCAACGACGATTTTTAGCGCAACACAGCGTTGTAATGTTCGAACAATGTTGCAACTATTCGAAACAATACCGCACTGGCAACATGTTGCAACGCTGTGTTGCGCTAAAAACCGTCGTTGCGACTCATCTTTTGTAACATCGCCTTTAATTTGTGCTCAGTTTCCTTTTAGACAAAAGGAATATTCTTTGTTCTGTGAAAAGGGTGTGTTTACTGTCATAGTTTACTTCTACCTTCAGCTAAACAAAGAGAAAAATGCACATGACACTACAAAGAGTAGACTTCTGAAAAACGAAAAACAGTTTAAACAGCTGAACAGAGGTGAGGAATCAATGAATTACTTTGATAAAGTGTTTTTTACAGCGTATAAGCTGAACAGGTTCCTATGATTGTTAGAGTCTTTTGTTTATATAGAACTTAGATATAAACTAATAAAGTTGAGTTTTCCCATTATGTTTGGTTTTGTTGATTATGGATTCTTAGTTTGTAACCAATGCTTCAAAATAAGAAGCCGTGACAGGTGTTAGACTAAAACATGCTCTTATTAAGTGGGGCCGGGGGTATTTACTGTTTATTTTTTTCTCGGGGGAAACCTGAGTGCAAAACGCGAACTGTGAGATTAGAACTGCAAGATTATTGAACGAGAGAGGACTTTTTATTAAGATCTGTTTATTCGTCCTCTGCTTTGACTAAAAATTTGAGCACTGTCCATAACACTTAATTTGGTGCGATTTTTTTATGATTGGGATTAGTTTTTGAAGAAAATACTTGAGTGTTTTGTACACGGAGTCTATCATCAAATAATGAAAATTTGTACCTCCTCATGGACACTCAGCCAGATCTTGGGAAAGGTATTTAACTATTGCGATATGATAGATAAAGAAGGAGCATAACAAATGGCTTGTATTGGCACCCTACACAGATCTGGCGCGAATATCTCTGCTCTTTGTATTTCAGTTTCTGTCCTAGCACTTGAAGAGTATAACAGCCTTCAACAGAAATATGAGCTTGAAGCTCACTGCCGTTTTGAGGCTGAAAAGTACGCAGCTGAGGTAAATACTTCAAAATATTAGTTAGATTAAGTACCGTGCTATCGGCAAACGCCGAACGTCAGCCAGCGGTGTTTGTCGTTTGCCGTTCCGTCCGCTGTGTTTGTGGGAAAAAAGAAGGGTGTTAAAAATAATTTTTGTACACAAATTGTCTAAAATATTTGAAAATTAATTATCTGTTAACTAATATGTTTCTTTGTTTCTTAGTTTTTCTTTTAAACTAAGTAAAATACGTATGATACACGACAAGTGTTCTGGGTCGCGGCCATTCACGGGGATTGGACAAAATGCCCAGAGAAGTTGGCATCCTTTATTGATCGAATTTGAAACTCTTGTAGCTTTACAAACAGTCATGAAGAAGAAGAATAATAAACGAAACATAGCTATTAAAACAAGCGATCAAAATGAAGAAATAGTCTGTAGAAATGGCATGCAAATAATCACGTTTTCTCGTTTGCTCCAAACGGGAATAATGTCCTGTTCGCTTTGAAACGGCGGCCGGCAAACAGCAAACGCGGTAAAAGTCAGATCACGTGACCCTCTCTGCCGTTCGCGAGAAAATATACGCGGTGATTAATCTCTATTAACCCTCGATACTTTCAATGGAACGTCNCAAGCGATCAAAATGAAGAAATAGTCTGTAGAAATGGCATGCAAATAATCACGTTTTCTCGTTTGCTCCAAACGGGAATAATGTCCTGTTCGCTTTGAAACGGCGGCCGGCAAACAGCAAACGCGGTAAAAGTCAGATCACGTGACCCTCTCTGCCGTTCGCGAGAAAATATACGCGGTGATTAATCTCTATTAACCCTCGATACTTTCAATGGAACGTCTACTGCGTCCAACGTCTTTGGCGTGGTTCGTGTTATTCAGTAAGGATTTCGTTTACCGTTAATTAAGTGGATGTATAAAAACAGATCATCGCCATCGTCATCTTTATTCACGCCCGAAGGCGCACAAGGCCTTTGTTAATTAAACAATCTTCTTATCAAAAAATCACGTGGAAGAGAATCAACCGCAATCTGAGTTCTAAGTGGGATTCGAACCCACAACCCTCCGTACTATCGTCGGATGCTCCAACCACTTGAGATCGGAGACAATGTGGTGAGCACCGGTATTTTTATGGATTATGACATGCGAGCTGCATCATGCAGCCACGCAGTCAAACAAAGACATATTAATTGCTTAACTGCATCTGGCAGTCACATATTAATGATAAGTAAGTATTAACAACTAAAGATCTAGCCATGCATCCATCCAACCACCCGTACTGCTGATACTCTTCTACTTGATTTCCTAATTTACTACCATTTACATGATTTCCGGAAATAATGAGCCTCTTTTCGTTCAAAACGTTTTGCTCTGAATCAAAACTGATTTATTTGCGCAAATGGTGTCGAAAATTTTTGAGTTTCAGTTTCCACGCCCTTGGAACCTTTTTAGCTAACTTTCAAAAACGTTAAGTAAAGTATAAAATAGCGTATTGGTAACACTTTAAACTTCGAACGAAGAAAATGACAACCTTATGTTTTGAAATGCTTTGCTAGCTTTTTTCTTTTGACCGCGGTCAATTGCAGACACCTTTCCTGGCTTTTGTAAACAGCAAAAGATTTGCCTGAATGGCGTCTATTCTCTTAGTTTAGTAGTTCCAACTTCTGTGTCTTTTGTTAATTTCTGCAACTTTCAATTGACGACTAGGTATAACCCAGGGTTTGGGATTGCGGGCGAGATCCATGCAAACGCTCTTGCTCCAATGCTGTGCTTTGTTTTGCGTAAGTTTCACGTGAAAGAAGGTCAAAACGTGCGTGATCAGATCGCGAGTGCTAGAATGATCAGTTTGCGCTCTATGCGTTCCATTCATTCTTAGTGGAATTCCAAACGAATGCTGGGTACATACTAGTAATAACAAAAGGTTACGGAGTGCAGGCGGCATGGATCGAAGGCGGAAGATGGGCTCCTGTCGAAGGTCAAAACGCTTTTGCTCCAACGCTGTGCTTTGAGTAAGATTCACGTCATAGATGGGCAACACACGCGTGATTAGATTACGAGAGGTAGAAGGTCCAAAGGTGCGTCAGATCAGATTGTGTTCTGTGGATTCCATTCATTCTAAGTGGAATTTCATTAGAAGCTGGCTATTAAAATATGTGCGGTGCATGAATAATAGCAACCTGGAGATTAGGATTGCGTGCTCCTCTTGTCGCCCGCAAACAGCAACCCGGGCCCAGTTGTTCAAATGCCGTTTAGCGCCAACCCAGGGTTAAATTTTAATCGGGGTTTCTTTTTCTTTTGTTCAAAAGCATTTTCTCTGATGATTTCCGTTACTCTTTTTGGAGCATCCAATCATCAAATGGCGTAGACAAGAAGAATTAAACTGACTTTGCTTTTTAAGCTTTCATATCTGAATTTATATTTCGCACTAAGCCTGGATTATCTTAACCTGGCTTTGAACAACCCGGCCCTGGAGATTAGGATTGGGGGCTCAATTACAGCTTCAGTTTGTTTTACAAACAGGTATTGAGGGAGAAAGATGTCTTGGACCAGCAAAGGAAATATATCTCGGAAACTACCAGTAAAGATGAGCAACTAAAGAAGGCTCTCGAGGAAATTGCCACACTTAACAAGAAGCTTGCTGAAGAAAGAACAGAATCCGAAGAAAAGGTGGGAGATTAAAGCCGGGTGAAAACTGAGGAACGGGATGCTAAATGCACGTCTTCAAGTACCTCAATTTTTATTGCGGCCATCCCTAGTCCGGTAGCTTTTGTCTAGTCTGCTGGTGGTCATATAAGCACTTTTCCCTGTACCTGAACAAAGGGGAGGGGTGTTGAATTGGATCGATTTTTCAGGGACGGTTGCAAATGCACACTGAACAAAACATCTCTCCTTCCCCACCCTCACAACAAAGTTGACATTGTGGTTTGTTTGTTTGCTTAACAAACATCGACCAGTTTTGGGGCAGGGTGTGTTAGACATATTTTTTCCTTGAAAGAAAAAGCGCTTAAGTTCTTGGGATCAAAGACTTAGTGCCCCAAAGGTTAAGTTAGCTGGAGATCACGGGATTTGGCATGTGCGACCACCCCTCGTAAGCGACCTTCTTTCCAAAACATCAAAACTTTTCCAGTCAAAGCCTTATAATTAAACTTCTCGTAAACGACCATCCACTTAAGGCGACCGCGACCACTATTTGGGGCTGACGGTTTAATGATTTTCCATTGTTTTTTAACCCCTTGCAAGCAAGCACTTGACGATTTGTCTGATCTCTTAGGTTCGCTGCGTATGCTTCTTAGAATATACGAAGAACTTTAGTAACAACATGGAACTGCACATATCATAACTTCGAAATTGCATTCCATAAAGTGGATGTGCCCGGACATCTTCTCGGAAGAGACCCCCTGTGGTCCTATTCTCTTAAGCGACCACCTCCTGTAAGCGACCTGTAAACGTTCGCCTGTAGATGAAAGTAAATTAAATATTTTAAAGATAGGTAATAGTAGCTAGACCTTTGAAAGCGCCATCAGCTTCGATCCCTTATGCTGATACATTCAACTACGTACTATTTTCAAACGCATGGTCAAATTTAAGCTGTCTTATTGGTGATGAACCCTAATGAATTTGCTACAGATCAAAGATCTTATGGAAGAAATGAAAGCTTCAAAGGATGAAGGATATATCAAAGGTATGTAGCTACCAGCTAGATTACATTGCATAAGACTGTTTTGGGCATTCACTTCCGAGAAGCACCCAACAAGAAATAGCCCTGTTTTTAGGAGAAGTTACTCCCGCAGATCGTCACATTGCCATGTCACATTACGTGATAGCTTTCACGTCGTAAGGCGGAATTGGAGTGGTTTTTGTCCTTGCGGTGGAGGGTTAC